TCTCCATTTGATATTTCATGAAATGAAGCAACTTTGTCATACTTGACTGCATTTAGACCTAACAACATGTCAGATTTCTGAGGAAAAAAAAATGTGGGCCATTGACTGAGACAAAGTTCCTCTGGCAGCAAACCATATGCAGAGAAAAAATCCCTTATGATGTTTTTATTTATTTTATTGTAAGATAAGGTTTATGTTGCTACCACAGATTCTGTGAAGCTGCTGAAAAAAGGCAAGGTTTGAAAGGCAAGGTACATGCAGCAGTCTTACATACCAGTGAATATAACTTTTTAACCTTTTCCTTTATTCTAACTATATGGCATACCTACTGAACTCTGATTTCTGATTATCTGCTTTATGCATTCCCAAACTCCTGAATAAAGTGTATGTCCCTCACTTGAAGTGATATTAACCCTTCATATAAAATCATATTTCATGTTTATCTTCCTTTAGAGCAAGATAAAGCGTTGACTGTTCAAATGCTAGGTATATGTGTCTGCACTCTTTTATTTCTCATAGCTTTCCTTAGCATGACAGCAGCACAACTGTTTCTAAATAAATAAACACCTATGGGAGCAAGTATTTGTAATTCTGAATAAATTTTACCAAAATCTAAGTTCAGGATATTTAAAATTTGTTTAAAAAAATCCTTTAAATATGGTCAGTTCTCAAACATTCTAAGTCAGCATCTTTGCACCTCTTTTCTAGTCTCATGCCTGGACAATAAATTTACTTCAAGGTAAATTATTATGCAGGTAGACTATTATGCAAATATAATGCAGTTTACACAGTAAGTACCATCTCAAGAAATGTCACCTCCTCATTTTCTTTTCAGGTAAGTGTGATTTAGGCTCCTAAATTCTCTAGCAGGAATTTTAGGGCTTGAATTTCTGTTACTAAGCTTAGATTCACAAAAAGATATATGCTTGTCACTTGGTATGCAAGTCGAAACTTAGATGCTCTGTAATCCTGTACCATTTCAGTTACTCTTCTCCCTTTGCAAGTTACAGGAATGCACTTATCTTCAAGTGCACACAAACAAGCATGTCCCAAAACGGAAAATATTAAATTCAATGCTGTTGATGGTGTCTCATTTTGTATAAATATTCATTGGAACAAGGATGGAAATCTTGTTTCCTCCAGCTCAGGGAAGTGATTTAATCACTATAGTGCAAAGTCAATCTTTGCCTTGGAAAAAAGATTTCTCACAAACCATAGAATTTCCTGTAGCTTGATAATTAAAGCAGTTTAACTATATTTAGCTCAACCAGGTCAGTCTCAACCACTTTCCTGCAGACAGTCAAGAGATGCATGGTTTAATTTCCACTGCGGTTATAATCCCTGTAATATCTTTTTGTAATTCTTCAAATGTCTAAGACTCCCTGAACTTCATTTAAGTAATTTGAAAAGTATTCAGGAGGAAATAAGAACGTGTAAATGAATTTTTCCAGGGGTAATGGTTTGAAAGAAAGTAGTTATATTTTGTTCAATATTAGGCTGCAAGACCTAAATGACTTAGGTGAAGAAAAATAAAAAGAGATGCGATAAATGATGGTATTTCAAGGAAGAAAAACAAACAAACAAAAAAACAACAACAAAAAAACACAGAGGTCCTGCATTCAGCGCATTGGGAACCAGAAGAGAGAGATGGAATTAAATACTATAAATACAATACCAGAATTAAATACCATACAATTGGTTTCTTTGAAGGGATCTCCTTGAGAAGCACTTTGTAATTGCCTGAGGATCTGTGCACATCATGTTCACCTTGTGGATCCATGTAGCATAGATCCATGAATTCAGTTCTACTTTGCCTCACATCTACTCATCTACGCATAGACAACACTTTGCAATACAGGACAGGGATTCTGTTTCATTTTACTTCATCAAGTAGCTGTTACAGTATTTTCAATAATTCAATACAGCACACAGCTGCTATTCCTTGTAGCTGCAGTGCTGTTTATAAGTGTACAGAACATAGAACTCCATAGAATTCTAGAACTCCAGTCTGCACATCAATAAATTTTAATTGTTCAGGTAGACTGCAGTGACCCTTATTGTACTATTTATCTTCAGACCTACTGACCTATCTGTTCTATTCATTGTATTTTTATGTTCATGTCTGCCGTATGCTTGCAATCCCTTCAGAAAAGAAAAGAAAAGAAAAAAAAAAAACTAGATAATTTATTTTTTATGTACTATAAAGTATATAAAAAGTCTTTTCAGATTTTCACCTTCGATATGTACAAACTGCTGCTTTCCTCTCAGCAAAATCAACTTGGGAATTTGATCTCAATATATAGAGCAGTACTTGCTTTTGCTCTGCTTAACAATTCAGTGTTTTCATGAATGCACAGTAGGTCTTTAACACACCTAGCAGAACACAACTGCATCTGTTACCTTGCTTTTCAAATCCCAATGGCAGAGTCACTCCTGCCCTACAGTAACCAAGACTGTCTTTATCAATTCCAAAATGCATTTCCTTCCCACAGTAACATAGGTTAGTTTAGTTGGAAGTTGGACACACACAAAAAAAATCTGAATGGAACAAATTGTTCAGTTTTCATAGATTCCTGTCCTCAATGTGCCATGGCAACTTTGCCTGACTGATTATTACAGTCAGTTTCTTAGAAAAATGGAGTCCCATTTATAGAACAACCTGCCTTTCCTGCTGTGTGAACTGCAACTCTCCTATTTAACAGAAAACCATTAGACAGAAGCTGGACTATTGCACTGCTAGTAGCACTGATTGGCATGCTGTATATTGACTTTGTTTTTTAAAAGCTGTTTTTATTAAATTGTATAGTAAATACCCAGTATTCTTCATGTTGGTATACTGCTGCCTGACTTGGTCTTGAAATCATATAGGGATCTTAACTATTGTTCGACTCTACTAATGGTTTTAGTAAGTTTTCTAAAATCTGCACTTATGTGGTCTTTTCTATCAAATGCTGAATTCTATAAGGTTCATTAACACTTTTCTGGAGCATTAAGGTCATTGTTTCAGTCACTGTCATTACCTCCAAAGACCTGTTTTAAAAGCTGCTTTTTAGCAAGATTGTTTGTTAAGACAGGAATAGAATAAATTGAATTGTTTAGCTGTAGTCCATCTCAGTAAATTTCCATCAACCGGTGCTCTGGGCACTGAATAGACTGACTTCAATCTATCAAGAATTGATACCATATTTCCCAAAGTCAAATTTAATTCTTTTAGCAGAATGTAAACTTTCCAACTATTTCCATATAAAAGTTTCATCCGATAAGTTAGAAGAAATAGAACACATTCCAAAAGCTGCTCCGTGGAAATGCTGTATTGGCTGCTGGCATACCTCCCCAGGGTATTTTATACAGATGGCATACAGATTCAGTTCAACTATTCAACCAGTACTTCTCTATTCTCCTCTCAGGGCACTTTCTGTGACTTTAACCCCTCCCACCCCCCCCCCACCTTTTCTTTTTTCTTTTTTTTCTTTTTTTTTTTTCTTTTTTTTTTAACTACAGTCTCATATATAAGATTAGAGTTTTATAGCTTTGGCGTTGCTGTATCTTAAGATCACCTTTACTATTACCTATGAGAAGCTTAATACTATTACATAGCAACATGTTTTTTCTTCAATTAGTAATATTTCAGAGGTCTGAAGAGACCCTTGCATATCTCTGTCATTACTTGAGAGAATGGGACAGGCTAAATACTTAGTACAAACAAGTAATTTATGTAATTATTTTAAAAGAGATTTAGGGTTGAATTATATAGAAAACTGCTTGAAAAACTTCAGAATGGATGTATTTACTTTCAAGTCTACCATTTCATAATTTCCTCTGGTGGTCTCCAGCCTCCTTAATGCTGCTAGTGAATACATATATCCTACAGCACTTCTGCTCTTGCCTTTACAATTTCTTGCCCAGCATTGCTTCAGCAGTCTCCTTTCTCAAATTTTCTCAAATTGATAGAATGTAACTTAGGGAAATTCCTCACTTTTTCAAAATGGGTCTTGTCTATACAAATGATTTGGAAAAAAAAAATCTTTATCAAAAGACAACAATAATTATAACAATTACTGGTTTTGCCCAGAATGAAAACATTATTCAAACCCAGTTAAACAAGAAACCAGCATAAAAAATCTTGCCTACAGCTGAAATTGTATGCATTTTCTGAAGCTATTTTTTCAATAATTCTTGGTCTTGTAATGCATGAACTTCAGGCTACACATTCCAATCCTTCCTCCATGAAATCACCATTACCAAAATGAAAATATATCCAGCCAGGGAATGCTGTAAATGAAGCCAGCTTGACTCAAGATAAAAACATGAACAAGCTACAAACCAGTGTCCTACCCTGTTCTCCATACTGGATTAATTTTATTTTTGCATGGCTTTCTACAGCTCACAAAGCCAGCAGTACGAACAGCAGAACACTAGTTGAAACTACAATCCTACGTACTTCTCAGGTGAAGGTGAGGACAACAGTGACATCACCCAGACTTCTCCAGTGAAAGAAAAGAAGAAGATTTTTTTTAAAAAATTACCATAAAAAAATTCAAAGCAACTTGCATACTGAGGCTTAATTCCCAAAGCAAGATGCTTCACATTTGAAACTGAATTTGCAACTGCTCTTTAGGTACAGAATAACAGTGGCTGATTCCCCTATTAGCTAAATAAGGACTCACAAGCAGCCAAAATATTGCACAAGAGAAGCCACATATTCTCAAGTTCCTAAATTTTTGAGACATACAATTTTTAAATTAAACATTATTTTAAAAGGAAACAGTAACCACTTATTTAGTTATCTGAATGCAAGCAGCTCTGTTCTGGCCATTTTGGCTTCAGGGAACCTGCTTGTTAAAGCAATATTAATTTACTTCACTAAAGGAATTTAGATTTCACAACTAGAATCTCATTTATATTTTCCAGACTGCCATTTTCACTCAGTGAGAAACATCAAAGTCTGTACTGATTTGAAATGGCTATTTGTAAAACATGATATTATTTCATATACTCACATATGTGAAAATCTAGGCTTGCATCTCCCTAGAAAATTTTTCTTTATGCAACACAATGATGTCAACCTGAAAAGAAAACAATACCTTCAGTATTACGTGGCATACTGTTCCTTCAATAACTCTGAAACAGACTACATTACTGGTTAAGAATAGCATTATACAGTAATGACCCTAAGAAAGTAAAGCACCGTATCATGTTTCTTTGAGAAAACACCTTTCTTAATCCCTTCTCTTTATGACACTTAACACCAGAAAAACGTATAAATTCAATAACAAAATCATAAAATTTACTATTAAGAACTGCTTCAGTGCTTTTCTTTATCCTAAAAGAGATACGAGTGAATTCTGTAGATGGGTAAAAGCCAACAATTTATTTCAGGTTTGTTCTTTTTTAGGCATAATTTAGACCTATAACTAAACAAATTAATATTAGTGTGCAATATATTCAGATTAACTCCATACATATTTTAATTATTTTCAAATTCAATATTTTATGTTAATGGACTACCATTAAACATAAAGGAAGTAAGGGAATTCCAAATAAGTAACTACTTACTTTGAAAGACATTTTTCATCTTAAAAATAATAAATACGGGATTTATTTTTTCTATGAGAAAAAGTTGCTTTTAAATTTTAGGGATATGATTAAAGAACAAAAATATGAAAGTGGAACATGGGGCATTAAACATTTATATCAGTAAGCCCAATTTGTCTGCTAAGCATCTCAGAAATTGAAAGTGACCATGTGTGAGACTTAAGGTCAATGGTACAGCATCACCAGGAATCATAGTCTTAGTGTGCATCAGGACTCAGAGCCACAAGAGGATTATTGAGGCTATAAGCAAGAAGCTTCAGCAGTCGTAGGTCGTTCTCTGCCACTGATTCATTGCGTGACTTCTGGCAAATAAATTACTCTGGTCCTTCCATGTGTTCATTTGCTTTCTTGTTTTAATTAAATATACTGTGAGGAGAGGTACAACAGTACCCCTGGAATACACACACACATATGTATAAACATGAACGTGTAGTATTTTAATGTACATGTCTGTATGAAAAATAGCAGGGATCAAATTTTCTGTAGAAGTCCCCATGATTTAAAATCCTTCAGTGAGATGATAGCTATGCAGATTGGATGCAGAAAGCGACTAAGCTGGCAGACCCAGTCTGTAGAAGAGGTGAGAGGTGGTCCTCTACAGGCACTGCAGGTGCATCTCTCCTTCAGGGGGCAAAGGAGCAGATGCAGCAAAAACCTGCAGTAGATCCCTCTCCTCGTAGGGGTAAGAGCTTGCACAAGGACAGCTCTTCCAGAAGCCAGTATGAGACACAGGACTGTTTAAGCACTGAAAGAAGAAGGATCTACACTATCAGTTGTGACGGACAGAAAACACTACGGCAGTGGACAATAAAATAGTCTAGTGCTGTCAGCAGTTGTGTGGCCCAACACCTAGACAAAAAAATCAGGTGGTAACTTTAAAACAGGTGGTGACTTTACTTAGATAAAAAATAATATATTTTTTTTTTTTTTTTTATCTTCTGTTATCACAGAACCATCTAGGTTGGAAGAGACCTCCAAAGTCACCTAGTCCAATCTGAACAATTTGAGCAAACATATGCATAAGGTGTTTTATTTCTCTGGGCACGGGGCTTAATTCATCCCTGGAGTAGTTCCACTGAAGTCCCTGGAGCTGCCTGAGGGATAAACTTAGGGTCGTTCAGACGACCGCAAGTGATCAAATTACTGCACTTAACGATATTGCACTCTCACCAGAGATGTTGTAACAGATTTCTTAACTCAATTAAAAAGAACAAACTAACTTAATTGAAAGGAACAAGTTTAGATCTCCAGCTTGCATTCACACTCCCATTTCTCCTGTCTACCAGCAGGCACACTTATTAAATCCATCCCTATCCTATTCCCTTGTTGATGATCTAGCTGCTGACCTCATGACTAGAAATAGCTAGGGCTCCTTGTTGCCCAGTAGACATGAGGTCAGCGGCTAGATCATCAACTACTGATACAAAACCCTGTTTTCTACCTTAATATTGTTGTAGGATTGCTTTCAGAATATATTTCACAGGAAGATACTTAGGGCCTTACAGAGACAGAAACTAATTTCCCTGCGTTTCATTGTCCGTTTTCTCTCCCTGCAATGGCTCTGAGCATAGCAAGGCAAAGGTTGATTTGTTTGTAGACGTATTTCCTGTCATCAGTCCAGAAGCTTTTTTTTTTTTTCTTGGATTTCTAATTGCAGCTGCCCATATAACTTCCTTTGTGTTTTATGAATTGAGGAGGTATGCCATGACAGATATCTTCAAAAAGATGTGAGAAAGGTTGTCACATTTTTAAACAGAACTATTTTCATTAAATCTCTGGAATCAGAGGTAGCTGCTGGTCAGCTTTCCTGTGTTTTTGCTTTTTTGTAAATATGACAGAGTACAATACTTATGAAGGATAATATTTTAAGCAGGAACACAAAATCAGGGAAAGAATATAAAACTGTCTTCTCTACTCTTAACAGTTCCATAGCATGTAAGTAATGATCTGTATATTCAGGAATCTGAGTACATCTATTACGGAGTGGGGACAACCTGCATTACTTTATATAATTATTCAGACTAAGAAATATAAGTTATCATAGCACATGTCATAATTCCAAAGAATGATTTACTTATATTCCATATACAAAGCTTCTCTGATTTTTACTGTTCACATTCACCCTGATCTCTAAAGACAGCTACGTCTATTAAAGTGAACTCAGCAAATTTATTATACTTTTTATCCACTCCTATCTAATATATTTTCTCATGTGGATTAATAAAATAAGGGTCAGGCTTCTGAGGATGACAAAGCATGAGTCAGTCAGTCTGGTTTATATTTCATCTGAGAGTGCTAGCACACCTTTAGATAAATATACCAATCAGTCTAAAGCTGTCTCCTAATTATGACAATACATGTTAGTGATATCTTCTCAAGCAAGAGCTGCTGACATGCAAGAATTAATAATGGTGGGAAAAAGGAAAAAGAAAAAAAAAAAGAAAAAAAAAAAGAAAAGGGCTAACTACTGAGTAGTCCTTGGAGGTTTTTTTTGTTTTGTTTTGTTTTTTAATTTGCATCTAAAAGAACATGACTAGAAAAATAAAAGAAGAGAATATGAAATCTCGTATTATCATGACATTCAATTGGAGAAGCATTTATCAGAATGAATACTTTTTAATATTCTTGGTGGTTTTATATTTTAGTATAGAGCTCTTTTCAAATAGAAATACAAAGAAAAACATATTTCTGTAAAGTGTATGAATGGTGTTAAGAGCAAGAAAGGTCTTTAGAAACAGTTAACGCCTTTAGGGAATTCAACTATTAATAGAAAGCTACAGTCGAGATCTAAAATACCAAGCAAAGTGACTCATAACAGAGTATGTTAAAAACAAGTATCTGCAGAAAATATTACTTGTGTTAACAACTGCATTATTGAGGAGCCATGTTGTGCAGAAAAGATAGACTGCCTTTTGGGTGCTGAAGACTCCATGCAGCAACGCTTATTTGCAGAAGGGTATGCAGTTCCAGGGAAAGTCACCTGCACCACACAGGCAACAAGAAATTGTACAATTCTGATGAGCCCTATGTAGCTGGACCCCATGAAAAGCTGCTGTAGTCCATACTCCCACCACCATTTAGTGCCACCGTGTCCAATGTCCCCTGGCAGAAAGTAATGTCCCATACCAACACCACTTATAATACAAATTTACTAATTGGAGACTATTACCATAGAACATTAGAACATTTTTCACAGAATCACAGAATCATGTAGGTTGGAAGAGACCTCCAAGATCACCGCGTCCAACCTCTGATCTAATACTAACAAGTCTTCCACTAAACCACATCACTAAGCTCTACATCTAAACATCTTTTAAAGACCTCCAGGGATGGTGACTCCACCACTTCCCTGGGCAGCCCATTCCAATGCCTAACAACCCTTTCGGTAAATACATTCTTCCTAATATTCAGCCTAAACCTCCCCTGGCACAACTTAAGCCCAATCCCCCTCATCCTATCACAAGGCACGTGGGAGAACAGACCAACCCCCACATCGATACAGCCTCCATTAAGGTACCCGTAAAGTGTGAGAAGGTCACCCCTGAGCCTCCTCTTCTCCAGACTGAACAATCCCAGCTCCCTCGGCTGCTCCTTGTAAGACTTGTTCTCCAAACCCCTCACCAGCTTCATTGCCCTTCTCTGAGCAATTTTTACATTGATCTTAGGCTTTCCATTTCACACCCCTTAGGTAATTACAGGCCCAAGGAGTCCCTCTATCTATATTTATGATGGGGATTAACTGGACTGTATGGATAGGATTGCCTTTCAAATTTAATCGTTAACTTTTTGCTCTGACAAAATATTGGTAACATAAGTGACAAATTCTGCAGCAAAAGCTTAGGTTATAAGGAAGGTATTTTAACAGTCATATACTGAGTGTGAAATATATAATTCCTCCCATGCTAATGGCTAACATGAGTCAAAAAAAGAAATCGTGAAACTAAAACCCTTTCATCCTCAAAGGCAAGAACTGTACTAAATAAAGAACAGTGGTTTATCTATACTTGCATTGTATTTGCTTAACTTTATAGGCTAATACATTTAAATTGAGTCAAATTTTTCACTGTATCCCCAAAAATGTACAATACTTTAAGTATTATTTAAATATATTTTATGTTCTAAAATCAGTTCTCACACTACTTTTTAATAATATAAATTTATATGCAAATTCTATCAGCTTCAAAGATATTCAAATGAGACCTGTAACAGTTATTGTACCACAACTGATTTCACAAATAATATTCATTTTGTAAGCACTTTACAGATTTTTCAGTTCATGTAGCCTTGAAGCTCATGTGATTACCTGTATAAAAAACATCACTGAAAGGATTTGAGAGCCCAAAGAGTTTCTCTACCAAACTACGGAGCCTTGCATGTAAACTTCTAAGAAAAACATAAATCAACTTTTATACATTTGTTTCAGTGGGATGGTACTAACTTATTTGTAATTAGAATCATGCTGGTAATATTT